AGGCCGGCAGGCAGAGTGGTTAGGGGCGATCAGGCAGGCAGGCAGGTGAGCGGTTAGGAGCCAGCGGTCCCAGATTGCGAGAGGGATGTCTGACTGCCGGTTGTGGGATTGGGCCTAAACCGGCAGTCAGACATCCCCCGAGGGATCCTAGATTGGAGAGGGTGCAGGCCGGGCTGAGGAGCACACACACACACACCCTCCATGCACGAATTTCATGCACCGGGCCACTAGTTTGATAAATAATAGCTGACCTGAACACAGAACCCTGCCTCATGAAATGCTGGGTCCTGAACCTGCCCTGTATCACTTTGTACACACTGTACTTTTTTCTTGATCCTCCTCTTGTTCCATTTCCACCCTTCCCATCTAACAAATTTTTGCTCAAGTTTCATCATCTCAATGACGTTTTCACCCAGCTACAGACAGGAATTTCCTCAGCAAACTGCTTATCTCTGTTCAACTATAATTATGATGTAATTGCCTTCTTTTTATTTTACACATACACACAGTACAGATGTGTACATATGTGAAGGAAGGAAGGAAAAAGAAAAGCAAAATTTTAAATGTGTAAATACATAGATTTTAAGTAGACTTTCCTATATGTATAATATTAAGCATTGAAATTTTATTAGACTGAATGATGATCTCTAAGGTCCTGTTTATTCTAAATGTTATTAATCTATTTAACATTCCTATAACCTTTAGTCACATATGTAATATTAATGGTGGATCAAAAAGGTACAGTTTTTTGTTTTGTTTTGTTTTTGCCATTGAAGAGCTCAAAGACTAGTACAAAGCCATGAATAGTGGTTGTATGACACATGGGGAATACTCAGAACTGCTATATGTTAGAGCTGGAAGGAATCTTGGGAATATTGATTCCTAAGAGTGAGAACCAATGGCAGAGCAGACCTCAGTTCCAGATCTCTAGCTCTTTGCCTCCATATTTTCACTAGCTCCCTCTGTCAGCAGGAGCGTGTATAGTCTCATGGGCTCTTTTTGTCTCTGAGCAGCAGGTTACTGGCAGGTGTGCCAAGAGCCTCATGCATGGAGTGCTTGACCACCTCAGCTCTGGGCCCCTCCCTGTTCTTCCTTCCTTCACCCCTTTAGCCAGGATTCCCCTGGCAGCACCTTGCCCCTCCAGGCAGCCATCTGGATGTCACCACAGATTCTTCAAAATCCATTCAGTATAGCAAAATGTTTCAGTGATCACCAAACCGTGGTTGACAAGAAAAGAAGGAAATTTTAGGGGTTTCTATCTGTAAGAATATTACATTTTAATTTTATTCTTTAGGAAATATGATTTAAAACATAACTTAAACATAAATCTTTTGTGATCTTTCCTTTTATAGATAAGAAAACTTATGGTGACAAATTTGAAGAATTCCATCCAGTGCGTTGAAGTCTCCAAAACACTTTCTTTGGTTTCACTGAGAACAGTTATTTCCGAATTTTGTGGAGCATGATTTCATGATATCTGAAGTTTGTATTAATCTGTATGTTAATACCTTGTTATTAAAATGGTCATCCTGAACATTCTGACTCCTTTTTGTCATAAGAAAAACAAAATGTTCAGTTTTCATTTACCCAATTTTAAGAAGACATCTGACAGATTTAAAAACGAAGTTTAGTTCTAGTTCAGAGTTGAAAACTATAGCCTATAGGCAAAATCAGGCCCATGCCAGTAAGTTCTTTTGGAACACAGCCATGCTCACATGTTTATGCTTGCTTCCATGCTACAACAGCAGAAGGCAGAGTTGTGTAGTTGTGTCAGAGACCTTTTGGCCTGCAAAGCCTAAAATATCTACTATATGGCCCTTTACAGAAAAGGTTTGCCTGCTCCCGTTGTAGAGCAAAGCATAACAAAGCAAGCTAGATTATGGAGGATTTTGTAAGTCATGTAGAATAATTTTGACTTGATCCTCGGTCCAGGGTGGGGAACCTTTTTTCTGCGAAGGGCCAATTGGATATTTATAATATCATTCGCGGGCCATACAAAATTATCAACTTAAAACAGCCTGCTATATTTGTTCAAACATTTAACTCAACCCTAATGCCTTGGCAAGGCCAAACCAGATAATTTTTCAGGCCATATGCAGCATGTGGACTAGACATTCCCCACTCCTGCTCTAGGTAGTAGGCAGTCACTAAAGGGTTTTTAATAGGAATAACATGGGCAGGCTTGCATTTTTGAGCTCTGAACAATATAGCAGGTGGTTTATGAGCAGGAGACTCCAGACCAGGAGAACAGAAGACTGATTCTGCAAAGGGGTCTTTGCTCTTAGATGGATCATCCTGGAAAGAGTGGGCTCAGTGCTAACACTCTCAGCGGAGCTCAGTGCAATTAATAGTAAAAGATTCCACCTAACTGGAATGAGCTTACAAGCTTGCTCTTTTTTATATATATAACTTTTATTGATTGATTTGATTTCAGAGAGGAAGGGAGAGGGAGAGAAACATCAATGATATGAGAGAATCATTGATCGGCTGCCTCCTGGGATCAAACCTGCAACCTGGGCATGTGCCCTTGACCAGAATCAAACCCGGGACCCGTTAGTCTGCAGGCTGATGCTCTATCCACTGAGCAAAACCAACTAGGGCTGAGCTTACTCTTTATTGCTCATCAAATCCAAGTGCTTGTCCAGAAAGTTTTTGTTTCCAGACTCAGATTTTATAATCAGATTAGTTTTTGGCGATTAATAAAATTGTTTCTCTCATTCCATGTGACTTCAAAGTAGGTGGCAGGTGATTATAAGTGTGGTTTCTGGGCAAAATCAGATGAGTTCCATCTCTTCTCAAGTGCCACTTGTTGAATATAAAATCATGACTGAGGAAGTACTTTAGAGTTAATGTACAAATACAAGGTATTTTTTAACTAGAGTCTTGGTGCACGAAAATCGAGCAGCAGTGGGGTCCTTCAGCCTGGCCTGCCCCCTCGCAATCCAGGACCCCTCGGGGGATGTTGGACTGCCGGTTTAGGTCTGACATCCCCTGAGGGATCTAGCAGTGGGCGAAGCGGCAGGTGGCCGGGGGAGGAGCCGGAGCTGGAGCCCGGTGCTGCGGTGTTCCCATTCATCCCAGCCCCGCTGCACCTGCTGCCACTGCTCGGTAGCTCTGTTGCAGAGGTGGGAGAGGCTCCTGCTGCACTTGCCAGCTGTGAGCCTGGCTTCTGGCTGAGCAATGCTCCTGCTGTGGGAGCACTCTGACCACCAGGGGACAGCTCCTGCATGGAGCATCTGGTCTCATCGTCAGGGCTAGTGACCCTGGTGGTCAGTGTTTATCATACTGACCAATCATAACAGTCACTTAGGCTTTTATATATATAGACTAGAGGCCCGGTGCATGAATTCATGCATGGGTGGGGTCCGGCCAGCCCACCCTGACCAGGACTAATCGGGCTGAGTCAGCCAGGAGGGGCCTGCTGGCGATTGGCGGGCCAGCCCCACCCCCTGGTGGAACTCCTGGTTGAGGGGACAATTAGCATATTAGCCTTTTATTATATAGGATTGTTGCTGTACTAAATAGGCTTATAGTTCACCTGTGCTTGGTGGGAACAAGAATGAACCACTCAATCCAGGGACTCTGCTACCTCTTAGTTCTGGAGTGTAAAAAACAAAGGCTAGAGCAAATACAGAAATATAGGTGGCGGTGGGGGAATGAGCGTATAAATAACAGCACTTATATGCCAGGTGCTTTTGATTCTATTTTGTTTAATTTCTAGAACAACCTTGTGAGGTAGGCAAAACTATCCCCATTTTATAGATGGTGAAATTTAGGTTCCAATGGATTAAATAACTTGCCAAAGATCACACAGTGAACGACTGCTAAGAATTGGTCAAATGCTAAAACCTATGTTCCTACCATGCCACACTGGCTAGGTATCATCTAGCCCCTCATGATCCACGGACCACTATCCCAGGCTGGTAAGAGAAGAGAGGGAGAGTTGTAAATAGCAGCAAGCATCCTAAAGGTGACCCAGTGACGAGTCCATGAATTGGTGCCCAAAGGAAGGTAGTGAAGCATCCCAGAGAACCACGTCGCCTCACTTCCAGTGCAGGTCTAGCCTTTCTGGTCTCATCGTCAGGGCTAGTGAACTGCTCCGAGTCCTCATCACAGAGTCTGCCTTCTCTCAGATAAAGGGATCTGTGGAATGCAGAAATATTAAAAAACCAAGTCAGTGTAAAACCACATCACTGAGGTACTGTCATGTTCCTCCTGAATAGGAAAAATAATGAAAAAGCTCAATGATGTTCCTGTAGGAGAAGCCTGGCAGTTTCATAGCACTGTGAGAAAATCATGTTATCAGAGCTGCAATAACTTCATTTTACCAAAAGGGAAACTGCGATGCAGAAAAGTAAGTTAGCCCCGGCTGGTGTGGCTCAGTTGGTTGGAGCATTGTACCGGAATGTCACAGGTTCGATTCCCGGTCAGAGCACATACCTGGGTTTCAGTTCGGGTCCCTGTCGGAGCATGTACAGGAGGCAACCAATTGATGTTTCTGTCACACCGATGTTTCTCTCTCTTCCTCTCTTTCTAAAAATCAATAAAAACATATCTTCGGGTGAGGAATAAAAAGAGTCTGGCCAGTGTGGTTGAGCATAGACCTATGAACCCAGAGGTCACAGTTTAACTCCAGTAAGGGCACATGCCCAGGTTTCGGGCTCGATCCCCAGTGTGGGGCATGCAGGAAGTAGCTGATCAATGATTCTCTCTCATCATTGATGTTTCTATCTCCCTCTCCCTTCCTCTCTGAAATCAACAAAAATAAGAGAGAAAAAGAAGAAAGGTAAGTTATCCGGGGTCATACAGAGCCAGGACCAGAGCCCAGGTTTTTTAACTTCTGCTATGGCACGAAAATCAGTAGTGTTGTGTAGAACTGTTGCGCGTGTCTGAAGCAGTTTGGGGTTGGTCAAAGAGTGTGTGTTCTACCCACGCAGTCTCAATCTCCCCCCCGCCCAGTTCCCACCTCCAGCCCAGGCTGCAGAATTCTAGGGTGCTAAGGAAATTCACTAGCACAGAGGAAAGGACTTAGACGCCAGTTAGGCCAGGGCTCATTCACATCTCAGCTCTGACATTTCCTGAATAACCTTGGACTCATTTTACTTCTCAGGCCTCCAGCTTTTTCATCTGTAAAAGGGGATGATAATTCTATTAGATAATATACAAGTGATTTTAACCTATAAAACTATTCCAATACCTGTTGTTTTTACTACCACTGTTACTATTCAGTGAAGAAACTGAGGCTCAGAAAAGTGAGGCCTCACAGCTCATTAGTGGTGGAACCAGAACTTGACTCTGAACTGTTGACCCAATTCAGTTAGTTATATTCAAGAACCTCTGAGAGGTGACCTAGGGAGCCTTGAGGGGGGAGAGAAGCAAGGCTAAAGTTCGGATTTGGGTTTGAGGTAGTGGAAGGAAGAATGGCTGAGGAAATACCTGAGTGGAGCTCGCCATAGACTGTTCATGTCCCTGTTTAATCCCCATCATTACAGAGTGGCCTTCAGGCAGATTATGAAGATAACACATATAGCCAAGATGGGGTGTGATGAAAAGAATACCCAGTTCAAAGTTGGGGCCAGTCTTGCTTTTGTCCTCTTACGATATGACTTTTAGTGAGTCACTTCACCTCTGGCTTTCATTTCCTAACCGGTAATGGGGGAAAAATCCTGCCCCAGCTACCTCCATCTGTGGTTTTGAGATTCCCATGGACATGAACATGGTTTATCTACCAATGAAGCCAGTTTGTGGGAGCAGGGCTAGCAGGTGGCCCAGGATTAAAACTGGCAGGTGGTGTGGCCAAGTTTCTCCCCATCTACCCAGGAGTGACCCACCCATGACTGTCCCAAGTCCACTTCTTGTCACCGAGTGCCATCACCTGCTTGTCTAGCTGGCTGCCCACCCACACCTCACAACTCCAACCCTTCTGCGCATAAACATGTGGGCTCGGACTCCAACACATATGTCCTCACAACAGAGCTTCCCAACAGGCATGCCTGCACAGGTAGCAGTCCTGTAGCTTTCCATTGGCTGGCTGCACCCCTGCCAGGAGCAGGAATATTTGCGAGCAGCCTCACCTGTCACCCCTATGTGACATAATATAATTTTTCATGTTCTGTGACTTTAAAAAATATTGGGTACATAGAATTCACACATGGAATTCACAATTTGCCTGAATAAATACCCATACTTATTAACTAATGTGCACATGCATAAACACATGTGCATACATCAGGTATGCACTCACAGGTCACTTTTCCCTCTGTCTCTATCACAGGCACTCCATTACTCACCAATTCTGGGTCAGAAGGAGAGTAAGGCAGGCCTGGCCTTGGACCTTCCCGGGTGATGTTCCCAGAACCCTGAAGTGAGTGAAGGTGGCTCTGTCTGAGACACCCTCCCACTGGGTTGCACCACTGCTCCCCATGCTCCCCTGGAATGTCCCTCAGTGGACCCTGACACCCACTAGCATGGCTACCGTTACCTTCCCTAGAGTCCGAGGCTTAGAAGGCCTGTCCCGTTATCTCCTGGTATGTC